ACTTTTTATTGGAAAGAGGACTGAATTTTGCTATTCCAAATTAGTTAAACCATTATCTGGAAATATTTGTTGAATTAATTAACCTTTTTGATAGATTACCTTAAGGGGTAAGGAATAGTATTGAACTGGAGGTGATCCCTCATTTTTGACCATATAATGCCACCAAAGAAAGATTTTCATATAAGTAGGATTTCTAGATATCTGCGTAATAATAATCTAATCATAATGAAAGCAGACAAAGGTGGAACAGTGGTAGTCATGGCTAAATCAAGTTATGTAGAAAAGATTCTAGTATAGAGCGTTATTGAGAGACCCAACCGAAAGACTTAAGACAAGTTAAAATATGCCCTTAAGGCATGCGTAAGTGGAAAATGAATTCACAACTCCAGAGAGATGCAAGGGCCCCCACTGCTCATGGTCTCCTTAAGGTTCACAAAGAGGGTGCCTCCCCAAGATTAATTGTAAATAGTAAAGGAAACGTGATGCATTCCTCGTGGGCCTGAAGTCTTGGCGTCGCCTCCGCCTCTCATAAGCGCCCCTAGTGGGGGATTCGAATCATGAACATGATCGTTGAGATGCAAGCTCGTTTCGACCCTGGGCCCTAAGATCAAATTTTAAGGAGAAAGATTATTTTTGAGAAATTTTTTCATTTAACATTGTTGTGCTCACTTTCATTTCCAGCAAACGAATGCGATTAGCACCAAAGGATGGCGGCAAATTCCTCTTGGCCAATTGTAGTATGACCTCAATGGAACCTTCTAATTGACGCAACCCTCGAAACAATCGCATCGCTTACAATGTTGAATTTTTGCCGTCTCATAGCTTACAACTTATTTAGATTAAGGAGTTAAGCTTTCTTGTCTGGCTCATAAGAATGACCTGTTGGGCTGCATATGGTTTTGAGCTCTTTTGTCAGGATCAAATCTTCCCTGTGGTGCATCGTGAAATGATTCACTGCCATACCGATTACACTTTACTCTAAAATGCTGCACAGCAGCAAGCTTCCGCCTGTTGTGCAGTTCAATTTGCCGAAAAATAGCGTTTTAAGAATTCCTTATCAGCATTCTATCATTACCAAGCTCAACTTATGTTAGATTCATGAGCTTGTGCTCACATTCCGTTCATGTGGACAGGAGCCATTGCCTATCCTGAAGGAGAATGCCAATTTCATGTGCATGAAGCAGTGGAATGCTCTATTGAAATCAGACGTCCTCCTCTTTTGATCGTGGCTGATGTCACTGCCAATGTCTTTGATGAGCAGTTGGGTCTCTAAGACTGCCTTAGTGATTCATTGTGATTGTAACTTTCATTTCTACCAAAAGGTTGGCAGGAAAGATTTTGACCATTGGCCTCACCGTGAGCCGATGGCCTGTAGGAGCGGAGACTGTCGGATTGTGGGAACAAGTCCTCGGATCATCCTCCTGCGAACTCGATGAAGCCATGCTGAGTTTTCGTCTGTCATGTGACAGACATCATCAGAACCGGAAATCATACTTTACGCATTATTGCATCAATATTCTCGACTGAAAATTAAGGTGGTCTGCTGCATGCCTACCGACATCCTCGACATAATTTTGCGTCGTTACTATGGGCTCTCATGCTTTGTTTGGTCACTTCATGTTTGCACCGCATGCCTGTCTCTGGCTGAAGTTAATTCATTTTAATGCAAGTAGATACGAGCACAGCTGTTGTCATGCGTAAATAGATCATCTTACGATCCTCTAATGTTGATGCATGTTCTAATGTGCGCTACTACATATTGCATGCATGTCATGTTTAAGTCAATTTATGTTAGACATTACGCCTCCAACACATCAAACAAACAACCAAACACACCCAAAGAAAACACTCAGCCAGCATAGTGGGAAACACCCAATAATACAACGACCGTATACACAGCGGAAAAAATAACAACAAACCACACAATGATATTGGTAGGAGGACTTATTTGAACGCACCTAGTCCGGGGTCCATTGTCTGCATGATCATTTCCAAAGTTGAACCGTGGACG